TGGGTGGGGGAGGGCGGCGGCGGCGGTCTAAAGCCCAAGGGACCTGGGCGTTTAGAGGGCTGCCTGGACCTCCCAGGGCGGTGCCCAGAGGCCAAGCTCAGTGAGGAGAGCTCTTGACCCCCCAGGCCACTGTCCCCCTCGCCCTCCCTGGCTGGGCCCTGGGGGTTTACAAGGCAGAAGGCTGGGGCCACTCACGGGCGAGGTTTTATAGGTCTTTTCCATCCTTTGGTGCTGTCTGGGAGATTGATTGGCTAACGAGGTATTTCTGTTCCAGTCTGATGACTAGAGAGGGTGTGAGAAAAAAGAGGGAGGAGGCTGTCAGCCAAGCCTGGGGGCGGAAGGAAGTTACCATAAAACTACAGACGTTCCCAGTGGTTCCCAGGACCAGCACAGTCTGCCGAGAGCCTCCTGCCTGGATGGTGGTTGGGCATCCGGGCACCCTGGCATCGGAGCATCAGAGCAGAGGCAGACCCGGCCCTGGTGGGAGGACCAGCCAGAGGAGCCCGCTCTTGCGGGCTGGGCCTGAGAAAGGGGGCCGGTGATGGTACCAGAACCCCGTGCTGGTCTGCGTGTGCGTGTTTGGGAATGCGAGTCAGAGTGCAGAAATGCAGATAAAGGCCCCTCTGACCACACATTATGCCTAGTCCAGACAGCTCCCATAAAACTAATCTGGGCCCTGCCAAGTGTCGTTTGAGATAATACGAGTTCAGGGATTTGGCTCCTCGGTCCCAAGGACTGAAATGGGACGAACTGCTCCAGAGACCTGTCCGCGGCCTCCTGTGTCACCCGCCTAGGCCCCCAGCCTTTTCTGGCTGCTCACCACCGCCCAGGCGGCTGAGGGGGGCCGGCTGGGGCTCCCTTGCAGGATGCCCACCTTGGGGGGCAGAGCTCTGCCCCGCCGGGGAGCCTTGCGCCTGCTTCCCAAACAGCTCCTCTGTGGCTTTGCCTGGGAAGCAGAGGGGACTGGGCACACGTTGCGGTTTCTGTTTTCTTAAGCCTTCGTGCTCTTTCTGCCTGTAATTTCCTCCAGCTCTGGCCTTTGGGGATGGTTCCACCACTGAAAACCTGGCCCAGAAGGTGTTCTTACCTGTGGGGTGGAGGAGGTGCTGAAACTGCCTGCCGTTGGGCCCTAACTACACTGCCTGGAGTTCCAAGTTCGGAAAGTTCATTTCCGCTCTAGTAGGCTGTCCTTATCACACGAGGTCTGGCAGGACTGGCCTTGGAAGCAGAAGCGTGTGTCCTAAGACTGGTGAGGACGTTCTTGGTAAGATTAGAAAAGCAGGAGTGATGCCTCGGGTTTTCACGTTCTGACTGCAAGATTTAAGTTTCCCAGGACTTTGACATCAGTTAACGTCTAAGGAGGGAGGCTCAAGACAATGTGAATTATAGGGATAAATCAGCAGTTAGATAGGAGCCAATTTTAGAGTTTGCCGATGAGACAGTACAGGTACAATGGTGCCCTTAGGTTGGGTTGTAAAGAAAAGATGTAAGGGAAAGGACTTGTAGCTTTATGATTTTATCTGCTTTAATAAATTAAATGATAACGTTGAGGGAGAGAGAACTGCAGAAATTGTGGCTTCAGCGCAGCTGGGGGTGGAGAAGGCGTTTTGTAGAGCAAGAGAGTGATTATTAGTGATGGCAGAAGCTGGGCAGATGGACAGACAGATTGACATCAGGGGAGTTGGGTCATGGCCCGCAGACTGCCCCAACTGGGGGGAACCAAAGCCCCGGTCCTCAGGCCACCCTCCCTCTAGGTCGGGGTACCTCTCCTTTTTCTAGAAAACTCTCTGTCCAGTACTAGAACATAAGTCCTATAAATAGGCTGTAAAGGTGCCACCGTGCTGGTGGCAGAGCAGGGGGCGCCAGTGCAGGGGTCTCCTTTCTGAGTTACAGGTGGGGATGGAGGCCTCCTTTTCTCTGCAGCGTCATTTAACAGTGAGTCTCTCTTGGAACAGACAAATACAAATCTTCCTTCACACACTGATGATTATAAATTCTTTTTGCACACATCACAGATAATAAACAGTATGTCAACAAAAAGCGCACGCTGCCCCACCTCGTCCTGCCCCTCCTCCAAGGCCACTGCTGTGAGGAGAGTGGCGGCGGAGACTGAGGCGGTGCCCCAGCACACGTGCGTGCCCGGCAGGGTGTACACCGCTCTTTCAGTGGCTCCATTGTCTGGACATCACACAGCTCAAGAGGCAGTGGTCACAGTCTCCTTAGGTCCTTTTGTTCAGCTCCCAGCCCTGCTAGATATCACCTGTGTAACCTCTTTGGGCTTTGGTTTCCTCATCTATAAACCATGGACAACTTCGTTAGGTGGTTGTGAGAATTAAATGAATTAATTTATGTAAAACTCTGATAACAGGGCCTGGCATCAACTATAAAGGTATGTGTTACCCTTTGATTGTTGGTTTACTTTATTCAACCAGCCGTCTACTGATGAACCTGTGAGTTGTTTCCAGTGGGGAGGGGGAGGGGGAGGCCAGGGGCTGAAATCAGGGTTTATGTGAAAGTCTGCCAACCACACAGGTGAGCAAGAAATTCTTAATGAAATACAAGAAGATTCTTTCTACATTTTGGGAGTAGGGAAGTCTTGATTTTATAAACTAATTTTGTACTTATCTGAGTAATAGACTGTCTTCTCATAGTGGCAGCAGCCTTCCAACCACCCTCGTCCCTCCTCTTTTTCCAAGCAGAACTGCTAGTTTTCTCTGGAGAAAACCCACAGCCCCAGAGAGGAAACCTCCAGATACTTTGGTAAAGAAAGAGGGCTAGGCATTTTTGTGTGTGTTTATTATTATCTAAGGAGTAGAGCTCCAACGTGATTTCTCAGCACCATCTTTCCCTGTTGATGGAAATGCCTTTACCGTATATTAAATCCCTGTATGGACTAATTCAACAAATATTGGGCACCTGTTGTATGCCTGGAACTGTTCCAGGCACTTGTATTGGGGATGGTCAGGTATATAAGTTAGACTACGTGGGGTCTAGAAGGTGTTATGTGTTAGGGACAAAAGCTGAGGGGTGGAGAGTGGGGTGCCACTGGAGACGGGGGCGTCAGGCCATATGGAGGTGGTGACGTGAGCAGGTGAGGGATGGCCGTGCATGTCTGGGGAAGGTGTGTGTGCAGGACAGCGCATGCAAAGGCCCTGGGCCCCTGTGGCTGGAACAGGTGGGTGCGTGAAGGGGTCACAGAGAATATTAGGTGGTGAAGTCAGAGACTAAAAGGGGGCCCATACTGTGTAGGGCCTTGAAAGCCATTTTAAAAGTGTTGAGTTTTACTGAATGAAGACGGGAGCTTTTGTCGTGCTCTGATCAGGGGTGTGGCGTGATGGCACCAGCAAGGGATCGCTGAGATGCTGCAGAGGGGCCAGGGCGGCGGCGGGGAGAGCAGGCAGATGCTGGTGTCTGCGAGGAGGGCAAGGAACGGTCTGATCCAGCGACGTCCTAGTGACTCAGACGTGGGGGTGAGAGAGGAGTGAAAAATAACTACAGAATTGGGCCTGAGTCCCTGGAAAGACGGGCCGGCCATCGACTGACTTAGGAAGACTGGTTTTGGGTCAGGGGGCTGGTGGCATCAGCTTTGGACGTGTTAGTTTGACATGGTCACCTGACCTCCCAGTGGAAACAGCCGCTGGGCCGTGGGTGTTCAGGTCTGCGGTCTGGGGAGGGTGCGGCCCCTCTGCACAGAGGTGGCTCGTGGGAAGCCCAGCAGAGTGAGGGTACACGTGGTGGTGGCCCGGGCACACCCGCCAGGCCGGGCACACCCGCCAGGGGTTGAGCAGGGCCCAGCCGCCTCAGGCTGAGGGGAAGCCCTGGAATGTTCCAGCAGCCAGAGGAAGCTGTCAGGGAGGACGGAGACCCAGTGGGTCAGGTACTGCCCAGGCTGGTGCAGGAGGCCTGAGAATGGTTGGCTGGAGCCCCAAGGAGGGCCCTCGTCATGAGTCGAGCTTTAGAATATGTGCGTACTCTTCGTTATACTACATCACACTTCACTTTCAGGATTTTCCTGGCTGTTCTTGAACGTTTATTTTTCCATATGAATTTTGGAGTCAGATCGTCTAGTTCTCCTATTAGGATTCTATTAAGTCTAATTTATATCTCTAAGACAGTTACTGTTTCTATTCAGGATATCTTTCCAGAAGGAAAGAACCACCAGTTAGCAGTGGTTCTCAACTTGGCAATGTCTGGACAAAGTTTCGATTGTCGCTCCTAGGCTGGCACCTAGCTCAAGAGAGGGTGGGATCAAGCCGCCGCCACAGAGACTTACCCAGTCCCCAGGGTAGTAGCGCCACACTGGAGAAGCCTAGCCTCAAATGCCTGCACGCTGGCTTTCTGCTAAGGGCCCTCGTCTTCCTTTCCTTACTGAGTAGAGTATCAGGCTGCTGCATGGCACTCATCCTTCTGCAGTGCTCGAGAAGAGTAGACAATATGTAGTGTTGCGGACGTTTTTAATTCTCTTCCGCCGCCCAGGCTCTGGCCCCTTCCTGTCTGTGTGAGATGCAGTTGGCGGTATCCAGTACCTTCACAGGAGTGAAACCAGCTCCACACTTGCTTTCCCAGCTCCCCTTACAGCCTAAGTGCGGGTGGGGGACCTGGGCTTCTCTAGTCAGATGCAGCAGCCGGGACTGTGGCCAGCCCTTCAAAGAGCGGGGTGCAGGGGCCTGTCTCGCCACTGAAGGTTGCAGACCTTGCAGGACGAGCTACAAAGGTTGCAGAATTCAGTGACAGCAGCAGCAGCAATTTCCTCACCAGGCCACTCTGAAGCTGGGTTTTGGGCACTGCTGCTGGCTGGCTAGAGCTAAGCCTTGTCTGCCTGACAATTCTGTGGGCTTTTAAATACTCTTTGGATTGCTTCCCTTTTGCTTTCAACATCGTGTCTGTTTCTGTTGCTTGCAACCAAGAATCCTGACTGATTCACCTGGATTCATCACATTGTGAGAAACACCAGAGGTCGAAATTTTCAACGTTGATTTATGAGACTTTCTACTTCTACAGAAAAGCTAAGAAGTGTGAAACTTTCAGTATCCAAGCGTGCAAGCTTCCTACCCAAAACACCAAGTACAATAAGCTATCTCACAGTTATGTCAGTACTGGGGAAAAAGGGAAGGTCCTACATTGTCAGCTTCCTTTATTACTGTCGGTCTGTATATGAGAGAGATGATTTGGACCCATGCTATAAACAAACTGTGGACTTGAATTTTACAAGAAGGCTTTAAGACACATTTATTTTGCCTTAATTTTGGTTCTTTAGGAGTGAGATGGTTTAGTGATGATTAATAACTTAGGATTGTTTGACGAAATCCATGTCAAACCCAGTGTCAGGCAGAGGAAGGATGCCATCACCAGCAGCGCTGGCTGTGGGTGACGTGGTGATGGGCTGGCAGTGGAAGAGGAAGGCAAGGACAGCAACACAGTCAAGTTCATTCTCTTCCTCCTTGGAGCACAATTTGGATTCCTTGCCGAATAAGGAAGAACATTCCTCACGTACGTTCTCACTGTGCAAACACCGGGCCCCTTTGGGTAACACAGGGACAGGCTCAGTTTAGATTTTCCTCGCATTTCTGCCCACTGCCCAGGTCCGCATCCTCTCCAGGCATCCCTTTCCAGTCCCTGTCCTTGACTCCTCCACTTCGATGGAAAATGTAGCTTTCTGCTGGCCTCTGGAAGAGCTCCCATTTTTGTCTAGTACCCTTGTCCCAGCAAGAACGGGGCCGAGAACGGGGCCGAATGAAGAAGCCGGAGCCCAGGAACGCCCGGACAGGGGCTTGTCCCCAGGTGCCCTCTGCTGTCTCAGGTGCCTCCTGGACAAGGTAAGAGGCCCTCGGCGCCTGGTGTCAGGAAGCAGAGTGATCGTCCAGAAAACCCACGCGGGCTGCTTGCAGTAAAACCGGGAGCGGCCAGGGTCCTGTGGGAGCCACGGGACGCGTGCTTCAAGGATGAGTGGAGCCGCGGGCCGAGTCCCTCCTTCCTGACACCCAGGGGAGCCAGGGGAGGCCGGAGCGCCAGGGCCATGAGTCTGAAACAGCAGAACAAGCAAGAGTGTGGGCTGTGCTTTGTCAGCTGCATTCCCTCTTGAGAAATGGGGGAAACAATGTGTAGATCAATTCAACTTACACTCAGTGGTAATGTTTAAGTCTGGCTTAAAGGGAAAAAAGGGTATATATGTATGACGCATTTCATTTGGTTTTAGCAGCTCCTGCTCACTGCCTGCCCTACAGTCACTCTCCTTGGCAGTTTTCAGTCATCTGGTGGCAAGATTCCCAGGCCTAGAGATAAACCACAGTTGGTCTTTTCCAGGGGCAGACCCATCTAGGTTTTGTGAGACCTGAAGCTTCCATAATTGGGGAGTAGAGGGAAGCTTTCTCTGAGAAAGATAATACTTAACGAATACAAAATTAGGTGCCGTGTGACTTTTTATTTAGAGCGACAAACTATAAAACAAATTACAGATTTGAAAAAGCTAACAAATTCTACAAACATCATGAAGTCCTGATGAATAACATAACCTCTGTATTAATGGGTGGTCATTGATGCCTTTTCTCCTCTGTATTAATGGGTGGTCATTAATGCCTTTTCTCCCTATAGTTTTTGGCTCTGTCCTCTCTGATCCAAGTCCAAGGCTCAGGAGAACGTTAGAGGCTTTGTAAAGGAATTGGGAAATACTACAAACAGACTGAGGTAAGGTCAGGACAGGAAGGGATTTTCCAGAAATGCAGCTTAAACAATCTGAGATAACCGTCTTGTTTTTATTGTTTGCTGTGAAATACAGTGTGAATGGATGTCCACGTGGAAGCACACTCCCCACAGGGAGGTCTGCTTCCCAGTGGCCGCTCGGTTTAGGGGTTACTCACTGCCACCAAACTAAGCCCTTTTCTTCATGTCCACAGAGGTTGGTCACAGCTTCCCTGGCAAAAGCCAACATAGGAGAGGCGTCCTCAACACCAAGGGAAGCATATGATGATGGCACTTGTGATAAAAGTATTTTAACAATATACCTTTCATACTGTAACATTTCTCTAAAGAAAGGCTCAGGTCAGAAGGTCTTGGAACTTTCCAGATCTTCAGGTGGATCCACATACCAAAACAAGTAACTCCCCTAAAAGCTCAACCTCTAATACATCAAAACTCTACTTATACCTCAAACAGGAGCCAAGAATGAGGGAAGTTCAGAGATGACTGATGCAGAAATCCAAGTGAGAAAAGTCTGGACTCACTCGACAAACAGATCATACACAAAAGAGCAAAAGAATAAACCGGAAAGGAAAAAAATATCTTCAACTGATGTGAAATAAATATTAATGTTGGCGTTGCCAATTTTTTTTTTAAATAAATGTACTTATTTATTTATTTTTGGCTGCATTGGCTCTTCTTTGCTGCACGCAGTCTTTCTCTAGTTGTGGTAAGCGGGGGCTACCCTTCGTTGCAGTGCGCGGGCTTCTCTTGTTGCAGAGCATGGGCTCTAGGTGCGCGGGCTCAGTAGTTGTGGCTCGCGCGGCTCTAGAGCACAGGCTCAGTAGTTGTGGCACACCCACTTGGCTGCTCTGCAGCATGTGGGATCTTCCTGGACCAGGGCTCGAACCCATGTCCCCTGCATTGGCAGGCAGATTCTTTTTTTTTTTTTTTTGCCGTACACGCAGGCCTCTCACTGTTGTGGCCTCTCCCGTGGCAAAGCACAGGCTCCGGACGCGCAGGCTCAGCGGCCATGGCTCACAGGCCCAGCCGCTCCGCGGCACGTGGGATCTTCCCGGACCGGGGCACGAACCCGCGTCCCCTGCATCGGCAGGCGGACTCTCAACCACTGCGCCACCAGGGAAGCCCGGCAGGCAGATTCTTAACCACTGTGCCACCAGGGAAGTCCCCAATTCTTTATTAGAAGTTTCCAATTCCCATTTTAATTAGTAGAGAACTGACACATAATCTCTTCCAATGTTTCTAGAACACATCCTGTACCCTCCCGTCAGCCACCTTTGAGGTAATATGAGCTCTTTTGGTAACAGCCAGTGCTTAGCCAGTATAAAGCAAAAAGCCCCAAAGCTGGCTTTATTTCATTGCTAAGCAGTGTTGCCACCCCGTCACCACTACTTGCTACTGGGCTTGGGTGGGCTCTGCTCAGGGGGCACAGGAGGGAAACTTGAGGGATCCTGAATATCTTGGATGAAGAACGTCTTAGGGGAGCAAGAGAGTATCCCGGTGGATAAGACGAAATACGAGTAACAATTACAGGACTTCTTAAAAAAGAGATCTGTGGAAAACAGCTAAGTTACTTTCTAAATTGATCAGTGGTTCATGACCAATTTCTTGGTCCAAAGAGTTTGAAACATCCAAATAATAGTTGTGCATCTTGGTTTGATATGGGGGGGGGGGCAGGGAAGGAAATAAAAATCTGTTCTCCCATCCAAGCCTTTTCTTGAGTGATTCTCTAATCGACATCCGGGCTGAACAGGCACAGGGAATGCTGAACCATAATCCCGTCATTAGTGAGTAAATCTCACTGAATTCAGGCTGAAGCACCTGACTTCTCATTTTGTAAAATATGTACTACCAGATTTTGCCAAGATGTTTATGGCTCATTCTTGCAACTCAAAGAGGGAATGCATTTGACAAACAGAGGCCATAAGAAGCGGCCCCACCATTTCCTCGCGTAGCCTCCCTGGTTAACTGGCCTGGGCTAGGCTTGCCCACGCAGCTCTGCAAGGAGCTCTCTGGCCAGTTTTCTCGACCTAGGGGCTTCCACACAAAGGTGGTCCCATCTGTACAAGGTCTGGTCCAGAAAGCCAATAATCTCGTGCATTACTGCATCAGTCTGAGCCATCTGCAATGAGGACAGAAGAGAAGGCAAATTAAAACACTTTCCAGACAGATTCATCTCTTCGTCCAGTGGACCAACTGTAACCATCCCGTCCCCAAAAAGCACCTGCATGCCTATCAGCTCCAAAGGGCTCTGGTTTTGTCTTCAAGGTGATTAGCAAAGCCAGTGTGTTCTCAGAGGTGGGCCATCTAGTGAGCAGAGCCATTTCCTAATGCTGGCCCTCTCAGACCCACAGCGGCTACAGACAAATGCTGTTTCTTGGAACACCCATCACAAGCTTTGGGGTTATTTGCCGTGGGGAGCAGAGGCCAATGAGCATGCTGTGGCCTGACTTCCTGCGAAAAGCTCACACTACTATGAGAATTGGAAAATGCTGAAAAGAGAGTGCCACCTGTTCTTACACAAACAGCTTTATAAATGGCATTCTTGGGCTAGCGGCAGGCCCACTTGTTTGTTAATAGGCACCTAAGGTTTTAACACTTGATTCTTAAGGGAAGCAGGAAACACAGGAACTGTTAGTTCTGCTAAATACAGCCTTAGCTCTTGGTACCCCTAAAGGGAGGATAAGAATCTAACGATTTATCTGCGTGGAGAATTTACTGTGATTTTTTTTTTTAGACACAAGCATATTGAGAACCTCTGTTTTTGAGAGTAGTCCACATATTCATTCCTTTTTTCTTTTAAATATGGAACGCTTCAGGAATTTGCATGTCATCCTTGCACAGGGGCCATGCGAATCGTCTCTGTGTCCTTCCAATTTTAGTCTATGTGCTGCCAAAGTGAGCACCACATGTTTGTTTTTCATGTGTGAATCAAATATTTAAGTAGCCTGAGTAGCCCAAGGTCAGCTCCTCCTCTGTGTCCACACTGGGCCCATCTGGTAGGGTGACCAGCCGCCCTGGTCCACCCGGGACTCTCCTAGGGCCCAGGACAGCCTTTAAGCCCAGGCCACCCCTGGCCATGAGTCAAGGCAGACTCTCACTGCAGCACGGATACTGAGTGGCAGCGGGGGAAGCCCTGGGCCCCCTGGACAGCACTGGTGCTCCGCGGCCATCTACTGGCAGTGGCCCAAGCTGAGAGGGCTCTGCTGGGGTCAGGGGGCAGGCTGCCAGCCTGGGTGGGGTTCACCGTGGCTCTTGGTGTCTACAGAATCCTTTCTTGGTTTTACTCAGAAGTCACAGATGCTGTAGATGACTTTACGGATGAAACAACATGAGCTTCCCTGGGACGCCTTAGAAGAGTTAATTTAGTACCTCAGACCCAAGTGGGGGGAAGATTGCCTCCCGCTCCAGTGCCCAGGGACCACGGGGGCTCCTCAGAGCCGGGCGCGGGGCAGCGGTGCCATCACTGACCCTCTTTACAAGCCACCTCAATGCCCGTGTTCCACTCCGGGTCTCCGGTCACATACAAACCCCACCTCACTGCCACTGAGGGAGGGGAAGCCACGTCCTGCAGGGTTCAGCTGAGGGCATCCTTGTGGAGGTCAAATTCATTTTGAGCTCAACAATTACAGAACTGAACGCTATATTTCAGATTCTGGCTAACTTTTGGCTGTTACTGCTGTGGTCCAGCAACAGAAGACAGAAGGAGAGGGAGAGAGAAACGTGAACTCAGGGCAGGGCGCGGGGCAGCAGGCATCCGGGCACCAGCC